CAGCTTAGTGAGTAGTACATATCTTCAAAGAAGATCAAGCATCCACAATGGACGTTTAAGACACAAAAACATACATCATTACACAAAATCTAGAATATAACAAGCTTACAAGATGAAAACGAGTTATATATTACTTCAACATGAATATATTCACGGCAGAAATACCAATTTTTATCAATAATATCAAAACAAATATCAACGGTCTAATCCACTTATCAATCTCATCAAATCACACGTTAATAGTTCATTCTATTGACCAATCTCGCTCTCGGATATCTAACCATCATCACGCTTAACACCCTGTGGCAAAGGCGATCAAGATCCCCCCTTTGTTACATCTCCACCTATATTACTAATTGCTAGCCTACCAAGATATCCTGAAATTAATATTCATACCGATTGTCATGATCCTCCCAACATGGTGTTCGGCAAAATACGATTTTAGAGGTAATGTCGACTTAGACCAATGGACCTCAATCAACGCGGGTTCTCCTTAACCCTTACCTCGCCCGACATTGGGATTTTTATTTTAATGCGATTAACTCTATGAGAATTCTATATGAGGAATCGCGACTAGCCTATTGGGGTTGGCTAGATACCAAGTGAGACACGAGAAGCTACCTCACTACCTACGAAATCACAGATATAGGGTCGGGGACTTGATTCGACTAATTACTAAACTAGTACCCTTTCGTTACCTAAATTTTATCATTTGTTAACCAAGTGTCACATGCATTCTTCTTGTCCAATTATGATTCCTAAAGTTCCTATCCACTAAGGGTAAATGAAGTGTTTTTTGTGTGTGTGCTTATTATTGTCCTAAAATGTAACCTAACCATGCAACTAAAACAGGCAAAACACGACTCAGAATCGAAATATGAAAGAAACACAATCTATTGGTCTGAGAAAGCAACGAAAGAAAAAGTAAAAATTAGAGCACAGTACGGTAACCCAATAAGAATTGAGCAAAGAATATAACATGGCCACCTTATTATGCCTGAGGATAGCAACCCTATGAGCTTGACTTTAGAGACTATATATCCTATCTTAAAATGGGTAGTGAGGGCTATTCGAATTTTCGGAGAAAAGTGAAGCTCCAAGTCAATACTTTGTCATCCCAAGTCAAGGTCCCAATCCAACTTTAGTATATTAAGTACTCATTTAGTCCCCCTCAAGTTTCTCCTAGGTTACAATACTTTCACATTACCTATTCAACTATCTGAGTTGATTTCAAAATTCAAATAAGCTATTTACTATGACGTTTTTTCTATTTTGTAAAGTGATGTTGCTAAACTACTATTTTTTTTTCCTTTATAATTGTCAAATTAAATCTATTACATTCATTAGGACTGATCAGCTAAACTAATCATAAGTAATCTTAACTTAAACTAGGAATCCACAATATAATCTAACATAAACACACAAATCATCAATCACTTAAGTAAAGGCACGAATTACAATAAAAATCAAGAAACATAACTATCCTAACTAATGCGAAAACCCAACAATATAATCAAGGCCTACAGTTCTAACCAATTTTCTGATTTTCTAATGTCGGGTTTTCTTATTTATTTTCTTATTTTTAAATTTTTTTGTAACTTCGGAGACATGAGAACTTGGACTAGGCCTTTGATGCCACCCCGCATGTAAGGTTATGTTTCGGCTCATAAGGACGTGGGCCCAATTCTTGACTCGGCCAACTTGGCCAACGGTCTAAGTCAAATCTGAATTTCAATGAGACAGGCTGCACATAGGCTCACTAATTGAGCCTAGTTCTTGTGAAAAAAATTACTCGCCCATTTCTAAAATGCAATCAAACTGAACCTTGGCTCTAATGAAACCATTCTAGATTCATTCTAAACCCAATTCCTAATATAAAGCCCAATTACTCCTTTATCTCTCCTTTCCCCTCTTCCCATATTTCTATTATTTATTTCTTATTCTTTTTCCTCCCATCCTATCTCCTTTTACTGCCCACGTAAATTTTAACACCCATTGATTCCAGCACACCGAGCTTCAATAGCGACATATCCATATCTTATTCCAAATCGAAGATAACACGAAGTACTATCGATCAACACCAATCATCGATTCACTGCCTTTAACGTTTGGCCACAGCTCCACACAAGCACAAATCTAAACCATGGATGGCAGGATTCACCATTTATCACCACTGGCCTTTGATTCTTCACCATTAACAATCAATACACCCCTCATGGACGACTATCGCTTTCGTCCGTTATTATCGCCACCCACCATTATCAAATTTAGGTTATTGAACATGTACCAACGAAAAACGCTTTTTCCCTATCCTCTCTGCAGGGTTCTCTCCTCTCACTCCTATCTTCACATAGCTACCTTCTTCATTCTCCATGGAAGGGAGGGTTTGAGTTAAATCTCTCCCTCCCCTCCCTTTTTTCCTTTTTCTTTGGCTGATTTGGTTCTTTGTTATCTTTTTCTTGCTTTCCTCCCATTTTGAGGAGTTTTTCTCTTCTGATCTAGTCTAGATCTAGAAGTTTCTCTTTCTCGTTTGAGGGAGGTTTCTATCCCGATCTAATCTAGATTTGGGGTTTTTTCTTGCGTATAAGATTTTGGGGTTTCTCTTTCCTCGGGTTTTGTTAGTGTACAAGTCCAGTTTCGAAGGAGATCGAAGGAGTTTCGTGAAGATTTTACTCTCACGGGTGTCAAATTTGTGCGTGTTCAACCTTTTTACTCTGCACGGCAATGGTGTTGGGGACGCCGAACCTAGGCACGTATTATCGAAAGGTAAAGCCATAGAAACAAATGGAAATTTCGGTATGTGAGCTCATTACTGAAGACGAATTCGGTGATTGGCCGCCAATTTCGATTTAAAAAAGTCTCAAATCTACTCTTTGAGTGTGTGACTAATAAACTTGTTATGATAATTCATCTTCTATTGAAACTTGTTTTGTTGTCTTGGTTTGCAATTGGACTGCGTATCTCTATTGTATATGCATGGAAACGAATAAAATGTTTCTTTGACCAAAAAAAAGAACATCTACCAAGGAAGGATAAGTTTGGTCTTTGTATTGCGGGTGAGCATCGGTCTAGAGTCAACCCTGGACCAACCCTGGACCGGCCCAACCCGGCCGGTCCTGGTCCGATTTCTAGGGGGTTTGGGTCGGTTCTTGGTCCTAGGATCCTTGGACCCTGCACTATGTGGGTTGGTCCTCGGTCCTGGGAGTTTAGGGTTGGTCCAATCCAGACCAACCCTGTATATATTATATATTAGTATATATACTGTATATTATACATTATATACTTTTATCTACTCTAAACCCTAGAGTCTTCTCTTTTATTGCCTTCTTTCTTATGCAGTTTAGTTTGCCGTGTAAACAGAAAGTATAAAGAAACCCAGCTCTACTTTGAGCAAAAAAAATAGAAAATCTCTTCGCTTGTCTCTACCTATCTAGACCACCTCGCCTTCTCGCCTTGCCTGGCTCACCTATGTTTGCTCGGCTCGCCGCTTACCTCTCTTTGCTTGCCTCACTCGCCTTGCCGATCACCTATGTTCACTCGCCTCTCCGCTCACCTTGCTCGCCTTACGAGCGCAACTCAGTTGGACAAATATATTTTGTTAAGTATTAATTATGTGTGTTGTTTATTTTGTTTTTAGGTGTTTGGAAGTTGAAGCGATCATTTGAGAATGAACAAGATATGAAGTTACATAATTCATGATTTATATTACGTATTTTGAATTCCTTATGGTTTAATTGTATGTCACGTGTTCGTTTTCTTGGTTTGTGGCTTTTGGCAAGTGTGAATTTTATGTTGTTATGTACTGGTGTTCATAATTTGGTTGCTCAATGTCGCATTGTTGATGGATATGTAATTTGAAATAGTATGTCTGTTTTTTCAAGAAATACAAAAAAAATGAAACAAAAAAATAATTGATTGGTCCCGGGTTGACCCTAGAACCGGACTGGACCCATAGGGTCGGTCCGGTCCTCGGTCCCGGGCTCAACAGGGTTGGTCCTCGGTCCCAAAAATTGGAAACCAATACTATACGGATTGGTCCTTGGATTAGGTGTTGGACTAGCTCCAGCTGAACCATGCTCACCCCTACTCTGTATAGCTTATTAAATGCCAAAATGAAGAAAAGTGTCTTTGTCCGTACTTGTCCGAGTTCCTGGAACTCTCTCCTTGCCAATTTGTGATGACGAAGGAAACTGAGAGTGATCCTCTCGACTTCGGCCATTTTAGGTCTCTAACCGCTATATTGGTTTCAACAATAGAGGCACTTTTCCAATTCTCAAGTTTCGACAAACAACAGTACAGCGTCTTCTTCGAATATCATATTCATGCTAAACACCGGATGCCTTTGTAATAGAAAAAAGACCGAATCCGCCATAATAATGCACAGACAAAATCAAGACTAACTAAAACAACTATTTGTGCGAGTTTCTCACGTCTCAGTTGTGCGTGGAGTCTTTGATTTTAACATCCATCGAATTACCATCATCCTCATCATGAGTCGACATTAGTTCTTCTTCGACATTGCTCCGGTAAAAAATTTTGGACGCACTCATTGCCGATTGACTGGTTTCCGCATCAACGTAAATATAACACTATTTGTATCTCGGGTAGTCGTGATATCTTCTTCCCCGATTTTCCTTCGTCCTCGAGAAAATCTCGAATAAAAGCAAAAACTACCTTAAGCATGAGTACTTTTAGTGTTCAATTGACATTTGGTCGTGACTAACAGCTGTTTAAAGGCCAAAAAATTAATTCAGTGACTATAAGACACTCTGAGGATATAACTTCGAGCACAATCATAAGCAGAAACTGGTTGTTTCCGATGCAATTAAGACAGACATCCAATTGGAACAGGCTAAAAATGGGATGTGAAACAACATCTTGCGACTCTCTCGCAACACAACATCGGCAGCTAGCGGCACACAAGTTACCTGCATATAAAACAACATAACAAAAGGGGCTTTGCGTTGTCATCTCCAGAAAACAGAAGAGATTGTCCTCCATACTGTCTAACGTTGAATCCTCGTCTAAGCTTTTACAAATTGGCCATACTGAAGCAACTACACTTCTAAATCCAGAATACTAAACTTTTGAATGAGGCCATTTTTTTTGTTTGGTCGAATAAATGAGGCCATTCCATTGTCACAAAAGCCTATTCACTTTATTTGGCTAAGTTTTGAGGATTGTACAACTAGAATTTACACTGTAATACTAACAGAGAAGCATGATGTCACCTTCTCTGGAAGTTGAAGCGCCCTATACAGTATGCAAAAAGAGTTGCTAGCAGCAAAGGAAAGGCAGCGAGGACGATGGCCACAACATACAATTGATCGTGGTGAAATCCGAAATAATCCTTCAAGAAGGCCGCCACTGTTTTGGTTTCTCCAAATACCGTTATATCCTTATCAATATCTCCATATTGCGAAGTTAGCAGACCGTTAAGCGCCCACGATGTTGGACACATATAATACAACCAGATCCACCATTTTGGAATTCTCTGCAACAATGATAATTAAGATTAATGTCCCAAGCACTAAGTTTTGAAATGTGAGGAATAGTTTTAATGTAGTAGTTGTTGATGCATGCATAAGATATACAAATCTCAAAAGATTCATGAATTTGATAATTAGGTACTCTGCATATACAAAGAAAAGAACACATAAAAAATGTTTGTGGAAATAGTCAAGAACATAAAAAATTTAGATCAAACTATGGTAAATGACACGGGTAGCTTACCGGTTTTGGGATCAAAAACCCAGCAAAAAGATTAAAATTTGAGTAGAAGGCAGATTGTAGAATTGCAGCCACCATGAAATTTGGTGTCAGGGACACGAGCAGCATTCCGAGGTAATTGAATGACAGCAATGAGCAGAACATGACATAGAAGTACCAGAAAATCTTGTCTCCTGACCCGAAATAACCAATCATCGGATAGGTGATGATAACAAATGAAATTACTTGAACCAATATATATGGTATCTCAACAACCACCTGTGAAATCAGCATAGCACCATAATCTGATTAAATTGGTTTACTTATTCTTATGTGTCATTAAACATGCTAAGTACTTCGATCATGAACTAGATTTGCGCATTTGTTAGTAAGGTTGAACCTCAATTAACTACTATGATAACCAACTCAATCTGTTTCCAAGACTTCTATACCTGTGCTAGTGAAAAAGCCCATGAAGAGTACATCCCTGCAAATCTCTCACGATACATGACGGTCCGTTCCATAGCAACATACTGTAGTACTGATGAGCAGTTGTTTATGCCCAAGAAGATCACAGCTACGTACATCGAACCAAATATGTTGAATAAGTTCTGCTGGTTGTTTCTAGCAATGAGAATATATGGAGTCAGGAGACGTGCTGGTCTCTTAATCATAACAGGTCATAAAAAGTTAAACAATCTTATATGACTGAATTTGTGCTAGCTGATTGTGCCGACCATTGCAAAAGTTGATAATTGCAAAACCCAGTCAAACATTTGACAACCTACAAGGTATGTACTTTGTTTTTAGTAATTAAATACTAACAGGATCAGAGAAGTGTTCGTTCAGTTAGCCAGATGTAGACCTTAGATCATCTCAATAAGCTTGTGCCCCAAAACTCCAGCAGACTCAAGTCCCAAATTAACGGAGAGGGGTAGTTACTCACAGTTTCTTCCCTTCATTCCAGAACAATACCCCGAAGAGAATAGACGCAGCAAATGTGTAGAGGATGCGCATCAAGTTGTAAAGAGGACTTCTCCAATAGGACAAGTACTGCTTCCAGAGACAAGATTTGAATTGTCCCCACCAGTTCTGTGAGAATTGGGAGGAGAAGTGCAAGTCACTAGTACCGATAGGTGGAGTGCTCAAGTGCTTTACAAGCTCTTCGTTAGTCCTGAAGCAAAAATAACACGAGGTTGTATAAAAGTGGATTTTGTCAATGGATCGATCAAACTGCACATCTGTTAACTAAGAGGAGATCAGAGAAGGAATTAACTCTGAAGACAACCAGAAACTGAGGAAAGTAAGGGTCAAGATACAGTAGTCAAAGATATGTGGCATATCGACTCCCTCAATTTAAAATTTAGACTTCAGGAGCTTATACAGTCTGAAGGAAAAAATTAAAGAAACTATTGCTGTATCTTGATTATGATAGAAAATGGCAGGATAACTTCAAAGTATTGTAATATAATGGACCATCTCAAACAATTATCAAGCACACACGTTTTTATTGGGCACTCGAGTAGCAGAGGATGAACTAACTCATATATTGCCGAGTCACGGTATATTAGAGCAAAATCAATGCCAAGTTCAGCTTCAGCTGAGGTAGAAGTCACCTCTAGCATCCATGTAGCCGGATTGTAGTTGCTCTTAATCTTTGGCACCCCTGGAATACTCTGTCCAACAGAAGTTGGTTACTGAAGATATTAATTATCAGCAATTAAAGTTAATGAATTGTGTAGTAAAATAACAAGGAAAGGAAGAAATTTTCAGATACGTGTTCGTTCAACAAACTGACCTCAAAGTACTCTATAATCTTGGTCGAGTTATGTCCCAAGGGCCCAGAGTAAATCAGCCGTCCACCAGTTTTTAATAAAACCAACTGCTCAGAGAGAGAGAGAGAGATTAGGCTTTCCAAAATCTAACAGAAGCACTAAAAAGCTTTGCACAAGCAATGACCAGCTAACATATGGCTTATCTTAACATTTCATTCAATCAGAATGAAATAAAAATAAGATTCTGCTCATAGTGATTCAGTCTTCATTATGATCTTGTTTTGTGATCCATATGTAACCTATTCATCTAACCGTTTTAGCATGCTGGAAGAAAGCCAACCGATTGACATTGTTATTTCCTGTGGTGATACACACACAGGCATATATGTATGTATTAACACACTTTACCTCATCAAAAGCCTCGAATATGTCAATGCTGGGTTGGTGGATGGTGCAAACTATTGTTCTTCCTGTGTCAACTATATTCTTCACTGCTCGCATGACAATCGCAGCGGCTCTAGCGTCAAGTCCTGTTGTAGGCTCATCCATAAAAATTATGGAAGGATTTGCAACAAGTTCTACAGCGATTGTGAGTCTTTTCCGTTGCTCTGTGGATAGACCACTAACACCAGGTACGCCCACTAAAGAATCTTTTATTCCTTCAAGCTCAATTGTCTCCAGGACTTCATTGACAAATTCCTACACATGCAATTCATGATTGTTTTGATAATAGCTGAACAAAAGCAAATTATCAAAGCCAGGAGTGGAATCTTACTGTTTTACGTTTTGAGTCAATCTGAGGATCTAAACGAAGCCAAGCAGAAAATATGACAGACTCTTTTACAGTGATCTGTGGGGAATGTATGTCCGTTTGCTCACAGTAACCAGAGACTCTTGCAAATGTTTCTTGAATTTTGGGATAACCACCAACTTTTAGTTCTCCTTCAATATAGCCGGTAGTTTTTCTCCCACAAAGGACATCCATAAGAGTGGTTTTCCCAGCTCCGCTCACACCCATCAATGCAGTAAGAACACCAGGTCTGAATGCGCCTGTGATATCAGAGAGAAGTTGCAGTCTTTTCTGTGCGAATCCTTGTTCTCTCATTTCCTAAGAATCCGAAACGGAAGAATGTAGCGGGAAAGAGACAACATCATTCAATGGATCCAGAAGGCTCAATCTTGCAACTTCAGAATGAAAAAAAAGTTCTAATGGTTACCACAGGGGTGTCTATGTAGTATTGCACATCTTTAAACACGAGCGTCAATGGTGTGAAAGGTAAAACCATCCTGCCTGTTTGTGCAGTAAAGAAGCCAATTTTAATAATAATTAGAGGAACATTGAAGCTAATTATAGTGCGACTATAATTGTACAAGGGAGGATTAAGGACTCGACCAGTTTTTGATTGCATAGGTCCAGCAGAAACTTTCTTTGGCTCTTCATGCTTTATGCTGTCATGAGAATCTTCAGTTTCACAACTATGCAAGTATTTCTCAAGTGAAATAATAGCACGTGATGATCCTGGAGCTGTAAGTTTTGAAGTGATTTCATGAACCTCCTTGGCACTAATGCTCCAAAAAGTGAAGTCTAGATGCACAAATGACAAACTTACGCTTCAAGAAAGTTAAGGCCAAAGTGTAACCAATGTTGAACAGTAAGGTAAATCCCCATAAGGCACCAACTGATATCCAAAATAGATATCCATCGAAGTTTAGTCCTCGGCTTTCAAGGGTTGCATGCCCAATTGTAGTGTTTCCTGACAATATCTGTGAATATGCGTTTAAAGCAAGAGCAAGTCCGATTGCATTAAAAGATACAGAGGAAGTTAGTTGAATCTACAGGTTATGTACAAAAAAACAAGTTAAAATGCATTGAGAAATGCAGAGGAAGTTAGTTCTGCCTATGCATTGCAAAATTTTGCCCACTACATCTTAACGAAAGGATTTTTTATTTCCCGAATGAATACGAGTACCTAAATACTTATAGAGTGGAAATGATCATTGCTCCAGTTATTGCATTGTATCAGAGTCAAGTCACTGGATGAGATAATAATCATCAATAAGACTCTGATTTAAGGGAAGAAGTTAGCACAGAGAAATTACAAGAATGAGATCATAGGATTTAAAGATTGTCAACATCTATTTGACAACTGAGGCCCCATAAAGAGCTCGTCTCGTGTCTTGTCATCATACTCAGAGTACCACAAGCCAAAGAATATTTAATGGCCAAGCTGGTTTAGCTAACCAACAGCACTAGCATGTCAAAATACTTTTCTAGAATAAAATGGGTTAAGTGATTCTGCAACTAAAGTGGCTTCTTGTATTTCGAGCTACAGGAACCAAATACTTGTTCTCACTTCTACAAGCCCCTCACCTTTTTCCATCGTGGAGCATCAAATTCATTAACAGAAAGTCCGATTTCTCCGTATGATAGTGGAGAAACCCAGAAACCCCACTTCAACCAAGCAGGCATAGAGGCTGCAGCAACAAAGCGTAATATTAAGCCTCACTTATTTATCCAAAATCAAAGGGAATAGAGATTCTAACATCCTTACATTTTGGGATGATGAAACCGCCAAATAGCATCAATATCACAATTGCAAAACTACCAGCTGTGGTGGAAGCAACCACAGTTTGAAAGATTGAGGCCAGAAAACGGAACATGGATATTGAGGACAAGTGTACAGAGAACAAAAGTATTAGTTGGCGGAAGAACCTGCATATATAAGCATAAAACAACAGAAGTCATAACTTTTCAGTAAAATGCCAGTAAAATTTATAGAGGATATTGAAATGTCACAGAAGTTTATGGAGGAGGTAATGGAAGGTTGTATAATGAAGAACTCTCATTAAAACTCACCTGCCTACCTCAGGACTGTATCCAACCACATAATATGTAAGAGATGTCCAAACCACAGATTCCAGCAGTGAAAGAGGAATTTTTAGTATAGATGCTGGAATTGCATAAGCCCAAGCAGGGTAAAAGTACAGCTCCTTTTGTTTATAGAAGGCTGAAAGCCTCGAAACGGTCATTGCCAATTCCGGTAATCCATCAACGAGGAGTATGACTAGTGCATAAAACAGAGAGCCCATATAGTAGTTGGCATGAAAAACATCTATTCCCATCCGAGTCCGCAAGAATACAGTCATCGTGATAGATGCAATGAAAATAAGCTGCATGAAGAAACGACAATAATCAACTACTAAAGTTCCTTTTATATATATGAAATCAGGGAGATTGATTAGAAAATTGGACTTCAATAGGCACGGAAATTGGAAGAGATATACATGATAAAAAATGCTCGAGATGTATCAGAGCTTATTTTCACCTGTACTGATTTGAAAACATAGATAAACAAATTTCTCCTCATGAGAAGAAGTTCCCTTGTCATGCATGCTCTAAGAAGTTCCCATCGGGACAGAGAGTATAGATTAAAAGAAAGAGCATTTTTGTGGCTTTTGGACCTATCAAACGTGTCTGAAAGTTCCTGATCTAGCTTCATCCCACAGTTAGATTCCTTGAACTTTTTACAGAACATATGGACTGATGTATAACTGTAATGTAGCTCAGGATGCTGCCAATATTGTGCTTGGTCTTTTCTAGATATAACCTGCATGTGAATAGGCAACATAATAAATGGTCGATAAAGGAAGCTAACTTGCAGTGCACAATCTATTTGGTGATTACTACCTCTTGGAGGAAATCGGCAACCCCTTTTCTTTTGGGACACCTGAATCCACAATCCTCAAAAAACTTCAGAGCTTGGTCACAAGGGCCTTGGTACACAATTTTCCCTTCAGCCATCAAAATAAGGTCATCAAAAAGATCAAATGTTTCTGGCGCAGGCTGGAGAAGTGAAACCAGTATAGTGGCGTCAGTTAAATGTGCTAGTTGCTGAAGACAAGAAACCATCTGAAAGGCAGTTGAACTGTCCAATCCGTTTGTTATTTCGTCCATGAATAGAGCTTTATTTGGGCCAACAATCATCTCCGCTGCACAATTTTTACCAGAATGTCGACTTGTCAGATAAGATTTTGGAATTTCAAGTAGCCAAACTCTGAAATGATAGTGAAACATTGTTTCACTGCAATAATCTAGTAGTTTATTCTTTATGATATTTTCTTCATCCGCCAGCATTTTTCCGTTCTACTACCTGTAGTCAGTCTCTTCTTTTGACCACCTGATATGCCTCTTCTCATGGGATCTCCAACCAATGTGTCTGCACAGATATCCAGCCCTAGGATCTGTGAAGAAGTTGACGACATAAACAGAAGTTTCAGCTTAAACATTTGAGGTACAGCAAACTTTGACGGTCAACTCAGTCAAAAGAACTTACTTTTATAATGTAGTCTGTCTGAAGGGTTCTTTTAAGTCCTTTGAGTGCAATTGCCTGGTAAACAAGGTGTGATTATTATTGACTGAAGTTCTAGAAGTGGCAAATAGTTGTAAGAAATTACACAGTTCAGTGAACGTAATTTACATCCAGCTGACAAGTCATAAAGAAATGGACTATAAAAAATGATATTTTCTTTTTCATGATAAGCTCACATTGGATTGGTAAACCTGGGCACAATAAATGCCCCCATTAATCCAATGGATCAAGTGAGACGCAAGCCTAAGACCAGATGGGTACCAACCATGGGATCATTTTAGCTAGTATTATGGAGACTCAATCCTGTCTTCGTCTTCTTCTTTTTTGCCTATGCCACGCACACTATTCAGTTCCTTAATCAGTAAGCCAATGGCACGGTTTTAACTAATTATGTTTCAAAGAATCCGTAACTATGGAGACTCAATCCTATCTTCTTCTTCTTTTTTTTGCCTATGCCACACACTATTCAGTTCCTTAATCAGTAAGACAATGGCATGGTTTTAGCTAATTATGTTTGAAAGAATCTGTAACTAATAACCGCACTGGTTGCACCGCACTCAAAGCAGAACTTCTACTAACTAGGCTAAGAACCAATAAATGCTGATGTTACATGGCCATCCCAGTTATCAAATATTGTTTCCCTGGAAAAGAAAGAATGGAAGTGTGCAGCAACTCACTGTTACCCACCACTCAACGGTTGAAATTATACCTTAAAAATCAGTTTATGCGCCCTTCTATATGATACGGTGAAAATGTCACAAATCTGTCTTTCAACAAAACAACCAAACCATGGTATGCAACTCCTCAGCCTCCAAGAATGATTCAATACAGAGATTGAATTTGGCTTTTTTCCAGCGACCAAACAGGAGACTCAAATGGTACCTTGAAATGGGTAGAGAGAAAAAAGTTGGAGAATGTCACTGAATGTACCTTCATGTAAGTATCTATATCAGGATCTGGAACGATTCCCGCTGCCTTCTCCCTTCTGTTGATCTCCATCATGATATCTTTGCAACCAGAAAAAACAAAAGATGGTTATTTAACACAGTTTCCAAGTGACAGATCGACACTCACTTTGAAGGATATTCACCTTCTCTGCTTCCAACACCTTGACAACGGGCGGAGAAGTCCAGCGTTTCCCTCACAGTCATTTCTGGAATATGCAGATCATATTGGCTCATGTAAGAAGATGTTTTCTGGGGGATGAACTCGTCAAGCTTGTGACCATTATATGAAATTGGTCCGGTGACCTATCAGATAATAGAGGGAACAGGGGAGGATATCAAACTCAAAGACAGACAAATAAGAACTCATGGATGTTTGACTGTTCTTAATTAGCTAACTTTGAAGTTCAAGTTCTGTGCCTTTAGCTACCCATAGACTACAAAATCAATTAGCTATAAAATGCAAAGAAATTCTATGCACATAATATTATCTCACTTCTCTGCACCCTTCAAGCACTTTCGTCAAATAGAATAGCACAAAGTGCTTCAGTGTTGACTTAATGAAAACTCGCTGAGTCCACATCTGCAAGGATACTGATGTTAATTGTTCATGTGAAGAGGAATTGTGTGAGCATGTGTTCTCTTGAGCTTCATTCAGTCTCAGTTTACACATTATTTGTAAGCCGTTCATGCGGTTTGTTGTTTTTGCTGTCAAGCCTAGTGCAGTTTGACATAAAAGTTCTTAAGCATAGAGCAAGCATGAAACCTTAAGCGATTGGCTTAGATTCCCAGAAAGAGCCTTTAGAAAGGAAGTTTTCCCACATCCAGGAGGTCCAAGCAGCAGAGTCATTCTGTGGCAAGAAAAGGCACAACGAACATCATGTACTCTCTTATCATTAAGCTTGTGCTTCTCTCGATAATAGAGTTGTTAGGAACATGGTTTTCTTAAAATACAGGCATGATGATGAGATTGGCAATATGTAAGATAAAACATGCATTTCTTTACGCTGAACTCACCCGCATGGGAAACATGGACAATAACCAATCCCTCTAAGAAGTAGGTTATAAATATGACTACAGTTTCCTAGCAAGCTTCTCAAACTTCGTAACACTTTTCACTGTGGGCAAGTATGATGTGAATCCCCAATGATTGAATCTACTTTCAAATATGAAGAATCAGCCTATGCTCACGAAATTTATCGCTAGCTACTAAGTGGGTTTTGAGGTTATGCTCATGTTCGGATATGTTCATTGTTAAAGCTAAGTATTTAGCTTTTTAAAGCCAACATCAAGTCTGGATATTAAATTTTGCGGAGGTGATGAAAACAACAGCAGCTAGAAGTGAATGAAATAGTTGAAGACAGTAGGACTGCTTAAAGGATGAAGAACGAGGCACAATTTTCCAGAGATCATCCAGAGAGATTGGAAGAGCTGAAATAGTAAAACAAACCTTCCGGGTTTTATAATTCCACTGACATCCTTGATGATGCTTATTTTGGCCTTACGTAATTTTGAACCTGGCATTGCAGGAATAGCCTGGATAAAAGTTCCAATGGACTTGAATTAGAGTTTTGTAGGAAGCAGCAATCATTTAAGGCAAATTGACATACTGATTAAAACATCTGTTGAAATTTTTCTGCAGCACACAGAATGGTTAGGTGTAATTCAGTCTTATTACAAAGTAAAGCATATTACATGATAAGTGTTACTGCAGCAGATGGATGAAAGAATGGGTGTGAGAGAAAATAAAAACAGTGTTGGCAGATGAGAATATAGATATATACATGGTTTTGCTGCAGTTACCTACGTATGGTCTGGGGACTATATTATACATTAATCAAAAGTTTAGAGATCACCTTGAACAAATTAAAAGTTTAGGGTCAACATTGCACATTGAGCTAAAGTTCAGGGACCACATTGAGCAAATTGAAAGTTTGGGGACAGCATTGCACATTGGGCCAAAGTTCAAGGACCATTTGTGTCATTTTTTTAATTTTTTTAAAAAACGTGAGAGAGATGATCAACAACACTTCCTTAACCTCTTCAAGAAGGACAAGTCCCTCCATAGCCTGATTTTTTTAAGCACAAAGAAAGTACCTGCATTTGTACCCATAGAAAAACTACATGCAAGATGAAAGGAGTTAAGAACTCGCAAATATATTTGGTGACGGCATACACATACATGTTGAAAAGAAGTTCACATTTTATTGGATTCAATCTTGAATATTCAGCTTCTTGTTCATTAATGGAGATCAGCAAGAAATCAAAAGGATTTAGCAAGACTCCTACAATCTACTCTAGATGAAAGTTACTTACAGGAAGCATGCTTTTTAGAGAATTCCAGAGAGTGGGCAGGGGCTTTCCTTCAACTATCTCACAATCTGCTTGAATACATAAATTCAGATATCTGACTTCTATGGTGGGCAATTTGACACCAACCCTGTGGAGAACAGTTCAACAGCAATTTTTTCCTTACTACATGAAATATAAAAATCGTAGGATGAGTTTGAGGAAGAAAAGAAGAAATGAAAACAAATACGAAAGCAAATCCTCATTCAAATAAGTTGGCCAACATGGGACAGGCACAATGTGGCTACTTACCTAGATCAATTGCAAGCATGTACCCAGTACGTATTTTATGAACAGAAGTGTCTTTTTTCATCTGTTAATGAACTTGTAGGCTCTCATGCTGTTTAGGTCTGCACAAATATTTTATGCTCGACCAGGTTTGTCATGTTTCTAGGTGACAATATACATTAGACATTCTGAATATATTTGCAACTCCCATTATTAAGAGGAGAAGAATAAGCTTACTTTCCTGTTCTGTCTCTAATCTTGCGCAGCAAATTAAGATTGTCATTCGTGATATGCCTGATGAGCTTCTCCACCAAAAAATGACGTTCCAATGCACCAAGCTTTGTAACATCAACCAGCTTCTTTCCTTTATAATCAACCTCCCTTCCATCGTTCTCCTCATCAAACAGTGATGACCTCAAACGCTCGAAAGTTGGCAACCTCTCAATAGCAGCCCATTGTAGATCATATTCATTGTTAATATCATCTTTTGTTTTGCTCACAGATGAAGTGCTTCGACGACTTGAAGTGTGAAGTCGAAACGATGATCTGAGGCTTCTTCCTAGCTCTGATAACTCGTTTCTAATCGACTCTATTCCATCTGATTCTGTCCCAATTAGCTCAGCCATATGTGAGAGTGCAGGCACAAATGTCTACTCTGAAGAAAAGCTAGAACACTATATGCTTATGCATTTATAGACCAACGTTACTGGTATCAAATGAAGATGAAGTAATCAAATACATCATTTCTATTCTTGCTGCACAAGGAATGTGGAACCGATAAAATAACAAGGTTTTTGAGACGGCAGGGGAAGTTAGAGAGTCATGTCAGGTAATCAAGTTTTAGCGAATCTGCCAAAATCTTATTTTGGGTACGTGTATATTGCCTTCTCAATTAATAAAAATTAGGGAGTTGACCTCCATATTCTAGCAGCTTGCATTCTCTCTTTCAAATCAAAGCATGAAACCACTAAGTAGTTCAGGCTGGTAGACGTTTCATGCTTCCCTGTCACCTCTTACTTCTCTTCCCCTTGTGAAATAGGCAATACTTCCCCAAATTATAGACCAAGCTCAAGGTAACTGAGGCAATTCCTCCTTTGGAATGAATTAGTAACTTTAACTTGTTCATTAAAAGAACACAAGTATCAATGTGGTTCAATTGGTGTGAAATATTCATGAAAACTGCATCACAAACTAGTAACCCTTATATGGACACAGGATCAGCTTTGTTCCACCTCGATGTGGGGGCTGGGCCTTACGCCTCTATGAGGTTAAGCATGGCAGTGCCTCTACGCCACAGATTCAATGCACAGGTATTAACTCGCACCCCAATTTTCACCGAACACCAATTAAACACGAGTCACAAATTCAATCCACAACAGAACAGAAACATGTAGAGACTTCAAGGCCAAGGCAGTGGCATTAGATGGTAGAACTCAGCATTAAGAATAGCAAGGCACAACCACAGGTTATCTTGAGAGGGTAGGGGGAAATATATATATATTGCTTTGAAATCAATAACATGGTGCATACATCAGCAGATTGGGGCATCACTAACAGAATACCAAAAGAAATCGGTACGATATTTACAATCGAGGTCTTATCTAACGAATCAGGGTATATAAATATGCCAATCAGTCATGACTTTGACATTCTACGAGCCCAAACACATATAGAATATACTTCATTTTTAAACCGTGACAGATCAAATATGCTTGTCTCGAAAGTTGGGTATGCCCAAGAAGCTTCAAAGTCAACCCAGTTGATGCGAAGGAATGATAATAACGATAATAACAGCATAACCAACACATGATACACGACCAAAAAAAAACCGACGCATGATTCCCTCTCGGGCTCAAAACATCAAACAGAAGACCTGCATCATTGCAGATTCCAGTACATCCATCCAAGAATAAGCAAGAGAGAGGAGGAAAGTGAAGTGGTCAGACATTTGACAGCACCATTAGACCTCATGCATGACGTAATTGTATAAATGGAAAAAAGAAGAGATAATGACACGGCTGGTCCCTGAACTTTGGCTCAATGTGAAATTTAATTCTTGAACTTTTAATTTATTTAATATAGTCCATGAACTTTAGCTTAATGTTCAATGTGGTCCTTGGATGGTACATGTTTAATTTAGTCCCTGGACTATATGAAAATATTCAATGTAGTCTCTAAACTTGAATTAATGGAAGGACTAAATTGAACATTTTAATATAGTGCAGGGACTAAATTGAACATGTACTAAAAGTTCAGGGACTACATTGAACATTAAGTTAAAGTTCAGGGATTACATTGAACAAATTAAAAGTTCATGGACTATCCGTGTCAATTTCCCAAAAAAGAAATAGAAGTAACTACAAGTTGCATAAACCTTATTAGTCAGCTAGATAAATGACTAATTAATGGCTCGCAATTTTTTAAATTAATTCAGATTATTGACAAAAAATGACTAACTTTTAGTTATTATTGACAAGCGGTAACCTGGTTGTTAGAGCAAAGTTTAGTCAAGAAAAGAAAACATGTGACAACTAGAAGAAAATCGATAACTTGCCAATAAAATCATCAAGAGCAAATATTACAGAAGTTATGAACGAAAGCCTTCACTAGTCGACGAGGGTTATTGACCGTAAGCTATTGCAAAATTTGCTAGATATTGGAGCTCGATGACAAAGACGATGGGTCGACACAAGCACATGAGTGCCAAGTTGATTGACCCTGTAACTTTGAAATTTTTAACTCTTCGTGGTTAACCGCTATTAGACGATAAGAGATTGTGCCTAAGATCTCGGAAAAGATGATTTCTTATTGATAAATGTAAACGATACTAAGAAGTTATTCGTAGATTCAAAATTCGTAAATTGCTGCGGGTGGAATATAAATACTCACATTGTAATCTTTGTAGAGCTTCGCTCAATCAATCAATTTCAAATTTTACGTTTATAATAAAATTTCATTCAATTTTACCTTTCTGGTACCTTTAAATTCTCCGTACCATTTGCCTTTCCTGGAACCTTTATTTGCAATACCTGCAATTTCAATTCCTTTACTTTTCAGCTGTTTGCTTTGCGGTCCAAAATCAACAAAGAATCCATTTTTTTCTTATAAGTCGATCAATATCATCCTCATTTTAAGATCTTTCACTTTCGGTGAAACACAAATATAACATGAATCCAAAACAAAAATAATTACCCAAAAAAAAAAATTTGAAGATGACAAAATTTTCTTAAAAGTGCCACAATCGCAAGTTGATACATGTTGACTTTTTTTTTTAAAATCAATTTTTTTTTTCAGGAAATCAATACTTCCAACTAAAAATTAGTAAGTTATCCAAGTCTCAAATTGGATTAATACCACGAAAAATCTCAAACTGGTACACATGTGACCAATTTACCATAAACTAATTTTTTTAACCACCAAAAATCCCCAAACTAGTACACTTGTGATAAATTTACCCTCTATTAGTTTTTGTTAAATTTTACCGTCAAATTGCTGAATTGGTTGACACGTGACAGTTGACGGGTGTACCAGTTTGGGGTTTTTCCCCTATGTTTGTCACAAGTTTATCATTTGGTAAATTTGTTACAAGTATACCAGTTTGGGATTTTTAGGTACTATTCATCGAACGACTTGTATCACTCTTTAAAAAAGGATGTATAATAAATTACTTTGAAAGTTTAGAACTCGATTGCATTCTGCAAATATAATTTAGGACTTCGGATGCATTTTCCCCTAAATAACTTACCTCTCTACTGCGCATGAACAATTATTGCTGCTTATCAACATATGACGATCTCCTTCTACTTAGCAGGTATATAGCAATTCGTGTAAGTTTTTGGAATAACAAATTTCTGATAAGATCTTATCAAAAAATTCACCAAGTCATGAAAGCCTTGGAGGCTTTGAGATGGTTTCAAGTTCGTTGTGCTGTTTCTCGAACCCGGCCTAATGGTGTTTTTAAAACTAAATTTATTGCTACATTAATCGTGTAAACTTATTATACGGATTCAAATTTGGTTTTAAAATTTTTCAACTGATTCAATATACTTCTAAATCTTTGTGTGAAAATCAATCAAATCATCTCGGTCAATTCTTGCCTGAAATTGCTAAACTGACGATCTAGTCATCGTTAACAGTCTTATGTGTCACGGCCGGCAATGTAACATTGACAACTCACTCAAAACGACAACCTTATGCTTAATTTCCTGATTGGTCTTTTCTTTTTCTTTTGATTGTCACGGCGGACGATCTGACGATCTAGTCATCTGTTGGCCATCTTTTCTTCTCAGGTGAAACTGGAGCTGACAGGAGAGGGCCCCTCTGTTACAAAACTACGTCAAGAAATTGAACGTTTAAGGGAAGAAGTGTACTCAACGAATAGCAGCTTTGAAGGCAAAGGAGGAAAAAATGGAGGCATTGGAGAGACAATTTGCAGCAATTCCTTGAAAAAGTTGAGGAGGTAACAAGTGAGATGTTAAGGTTCTATGTCTGCCCATGATATTTGTAGCCATACTGTAATTAGCAAACCTGTGCCTCTATATTGAAGTGTAGAGCAGCAGTTACCAAAAGAAATTGAACAGTGACAATGGAAATGTTATGAGGGCAGTGCATTTGCAGCAAAATTAGCCTCAAATCATTTGTCCATGATGTTTGTAATTTACAGACCATGCACACTTCAAATTGCTCAACAAGTACAGCTTAATTAGAGCAATGAGATATTGGCACAATTGCCTGACAAGCAGTGGTTACTCTGATTAAACATCTAATGGTGAACGGTCTTCTGTTTTTCTTGAGATGACAACGTAAAGCCCCTTTTTATATTTTTCTTTCTATGTTCATAGTAATCCCTGTGCAAATTCTACTACTTGAAACCTGGTAACTTGTGTGCCACTGTCTGTGGATGTGGTGTTGCGATGGAGTCCTGAGAATGTTATTGCACATCCTATTTTTGGCCTGTTCTACTTGCATGTCTGTCTTCATTGCGTCGCAAACAATGAGTTTCTGCATATGAGTGAGCTCTAAGTTTCATCCTTAGAGTGTCTTGTAATCATTGAATTTATTATACATAAGGTAGCCTTATCTTTTATTTGAGATTTTCTTTTCAAGCTCGGACAAGTAGTTGCTTTAGTTAGTTTTGGTTTTGTCTGTGCATTATGATGGATTCGGACTTCTTTTTTTATCACAAAGACATGGATGTTTGGCATGAACATGATAATCAAAGATGCCATACTTTGGTTTCTCTAAGCTCGAGAATTGGAAAAGTGCCTCTGTTGTTGAAACCAATATAACAGTCAGAGACCCAATAAGGCCCGAAGCCAAGAGATGCACTCCCACTCTCCTTCGTCATCACAAATTGGCAAGGACAGAGAGTTCCAGGAACTTGGAGAGATTGTCCTCCAGACTGTCTAACAATGAATCCTCCTCTAAGCTTTTAGATATTGGCCATACTGAAACAAGTACACTTATAAGTCCAGAATGCTAACCGTTTGAATGCAGCCATTCCATTGTCACAAAAAACCAATTCGCTTCATTGGGCTAGTTTTGAGGATTGTACAACTAAGTTTTACACTGTGATACTAACAGAGAAATATGACGTCACCTTCTCTGGAAGTTGAAGCGCCCTATACAGTATGCGAAAAGAGTTGCTAGAACAAACGGAAAGGCAACGAGGATGATGGCCACAACATACAATTGATCATGCTGAAATCCAAAATAATCCTTCAAGAAGGCCGCCACTGTTTTGGTTTCTCCAAATACCGTTATTTGCTTATGAATATCTCCATACTGTGAAGTTAGCATACCATTAAGTGCCCACGATGTTGGACACACATAATACAACCAGATCCACCAGTTTGGAATTTTCTGCAACAATGATAATAAGGCACTATTAATTCCCCAAGCACTTACTTTTGAGATGTAGGGGATAGTTTTAATGTAGTAGTTGTTGATACACGCATATATAAATCTCGTAAGATTCACGAACTTCATAATTAGGAACTGTGCATATACAAAGAAAAAAACATGGACAAAATGTTCGTGAAAAGAGTTAAGAAAATAAAAATTCATATCAAACTACAGTAAACAACACGGGAAGCTTACCGGTTTTGGGATAAAAAACCCAGCAAAAAGATTAAAATTTGCGTAGAAGGCAGATTGTAGAATTGCAGCCACCATCAAATTTGGTGTCAGGGACAGGAGCAGCATTCCGAAGTAATTGAATGACAGCAATGAGCAGAACATGACAAAGAAGTACCAGAAAATCTTGTGCACTGACCTCAAATAACCAATCGTCAGATAGGTGATGATCCCAAATGAAATAGCTTGAACTAGTATATACGGTATCTCAACAACAACCCATGAAATCAGCATAGCACGATAATCTGATTAAATTGTTTTACTTTTGCTTATGGGTCTTTAAACATGTGAAGAACTTTGATCATTCAATTGAACTAGATTTGCGCATCTTTTAAGAAGGTTGAATCACAATTAACTACTAGGGTAACCAACTCAATCAGCTTCCCAGATTTCCGTACCTGTGCTAGTGAAAATGCCCATGAAGAGTACATCCCTGCAAATCTCTCACGATACATGACTGTCCGTTCTGTAGCAACATACTGTAGTGATGATGAGCAGTTGTTTATGCCCAAGAATATCACGGCTACATACATTGAACCAAATATGCTGAATACGTTCTGCGGGTTGCTTCTGGCAATGAAAATATATGGAGTCAAACATGCCAGTCTCTTAATTCTAACAAGTCAAAAAGTTACATGAACTTATATGACTGAATATGTGCTAGCTATTTGTGCCAACCATTGGAAAATTTGATTATGGCAAAACCTAGCCAAATATTTGACCACTTAGAGGATATACACTTTTTTACTAGTTCTTCCTTGTTTAAGATTAAAAACTAACAAGACCAGAGACAT